TATATGAAATTTCTTTAACTACAAATTTTCCTCTAAAATTCTCCATAAATACTTAGTGGGTTTTTAAAAAATCTTTAGTAAATATATAATGGGCTTTTAACAAAAATAGCTATTAAAAGAATAAATATTAAAGAATCTAACATAAAGGGAGTGGGACTCACATTAAAAAAATCGACACTATTATAATTATAATGTTACATAATATTGTAAATTTACAATTAAAACATGACATTAAACAAGTGTGATGTAACATTAAATGAGTAGATACATGCAATATATCATAAGTGGATAAAAGAGTTTATTATACAATTACACATTAAATTATAAATTTACAATGAAACTTAGGGTATGGGAATAAGTGTAGATGTGGTTGCTATGCCACATAATTGGTCCTTAGGCTTGATACATTTTCTTTTATTCCTAAAATAGACATATTTCTTAAATGAACCATTCATTTTTGCCATACCCATGGATTTGCAAGTAGTTTTATTTTATTTAAAAGGGTCAAAGATATATTTTTTTCTTAAACTCAAGAGAGACAAATCTTATCTTGATTCACCTATTACTCTCCTGCAATTCGTGATGTATCCAATAATTATATTACTCGCAAATACTCATACTAGCTATTTTTAACAATATTAAAGTACAAAAGTTCTCAAATAAAATAATAATAATCTCAAGTTGAAAGTTTACTTACGCTTATGTCATAGCTAAGAAGCTACTAATGATATATGCATGTAGTATTCTCATAGCAAGTCAATCTAGTGTACTCACTTGCTTTGAATCACCCAAATGTGATAAATGATTTCGTGAAAAGAGATCTTCTTGCCTACTAAACTATTGCATGTGATAGTTTTTATATCACTGATGTCTCATTTTAATGACATATACAACTAATAAACAATTTAAGAATGTTGTTATTGAATCCTATGGTTCTCAGTAATAGCAATGATTTCTATAACCTTTTGATACAACAAATATCATAAGAACTTTATTGATATTAATGTACGAAAAGTTTAATAATAATTAATATATGATAAACAAATACCTCATTTATATAATTGTAATAACAAGTATAAAGTTCAAATAAACTTGATTTAAAAGCACAGTTTAACTATGAACTTACAATCATGACAAGTCATTAAAACAATGTGATGTGTCATTAAATGAATAGATTATACAATATTATAAATGGACACCTGAGTGAAAAGAGCCAATTATGTAAAAATGTTTCATGTTATAAACTTATTATATCACATAGCATTATAAATATTTTTCTTTTTTCTTTAATTTAATATTAATTATTAATTAACAAATACTAACTTTCATTTAAACAATAAAAAAATTAAACACAAAAAATGGTTTCTTCTTCCCTAATGAAACTTCACCTTCACCTTCTTCTTCCACCTTCTTCTTCATTTTCTTTGTTTCCTCTTTCTTCCCTCATTCTTCTTCTTTCTCCTTCTCTAGCTTCCATCTCTTTAAAAAAAAAAAAAAATTAAAAAAAAAAAAAAGAAAAAAAGAAAAAACTGATCAGGTTCTTATGCAAAACTCGATAAGGGTTGTCCAAGGAAACCTGTCAATCAGGGTTCTCAAGGAGAGAGAACCTGTTTGATGGGTTCCCCATACCAGAGGGTTCTCATGGAGCAAGAAACCCATTGGATTATCCATAGAATGAAATGGCTGATGTGCTTTATATTTAGGGGTGGCAATTTGCCTTGATCTTTCGAGGTTCTACCGGGATTCCCGCCATGGGGATGGGGCGAAAAAGAATATTCCTCCCCACGGGACGAGGACGAGGACGAGGGGCATTCCCCCCCTGCAAAATTTGTGTTATTAGCTTAATTTAATGTAATTGAGAGTTGGGTGGGATATACATGCCACCTAAACGGCTCACATGGCAAATGACGATAGAATTTTAACTGACTTGAAAATTTACGTGATATGTCAATTTAGATTTAAAATCCTGAACTAAGTCTTAAAAAAAAAAAAAAAAAAAAAAAAGCCTTGCACTAGTGCTATATTTAGGTTGAGAGAAAGGAAGGAGATGGAAATTATATCTTTTTATTCTCTTTTGTTTCTTTTTTTTTTTCATTATTTGGATAAGTAATTAAATTAAAAAATAAAAAAAAAATTTCTCCTCCCCTGCTCTAATTTTTTTAATAATTAAATAAAAAAATTTTTCTCTCTTTTCCTTTCTATTCTTCTCAACTCAAACATATTATAAATCTTATACTTGAGGGAAAAATAATCTCAAAATTTACAAATTTGAAGGCGATTTATGGTCTTTGGCCCACACACCATTCTTGATAAGGAAAATAATTGACCCATATTTTTACATTTTAGCCGAAGAAAAGGTTTTAATTGAATTAGTTCAAAGGAGTAAATTTGTAAGTTTAATTTTGATAATTAAAGTCATTAATTAGATTTTGGGGTTACAAATTGTCAGGTTGACTTGTTAAAAATATATGAATATTTATGAAATTAATTAAATATCTTTAATGACATTACAATAATTCGTTAAAAATATTTATATAATTTTATAAACACTCTTACACTTTTTGTAGACATAAAAAAATATTTTTTGTTAGAATTTTTTTGATATGTGTAAAACTTCCAAAATGTTAATTAATTGAAACATATAACGTACAAAGTTAAACATGCTGTTGATTTCTCTTCTTTTTTTTTTTTGTAAAGTAATTATAGATTCATAAATAAAGAAGTCAAAAAGGGTGTTTGGAGTGGTTAACAACTTGAGATTGTAAATTAAAATTTTTAAATTTAAATCTTAAAATGAGTAATGAGAGAATAAAAAAAAGAAATATTATCTTTTATTATACAGTTAATCATTTAATGTACAAAAAAATAAAGAAGCCTATGATATACAATAGACCATAATCCCTAAAAATAGACCCATGGAGGGTTTTAGGGATAATCATAGTACATCGAATAAACCTATGATAGGCACTTTATAAGTAAAGAAAATTAGACATTACACAACAAATCATAATTCCTAAATAAACCCACAGAGGATTTTGAAGTTGTACATACAACATATAGTATGAGATGATAAACACTTGTTAGCAGATCTAATCAATTATGAACCATAAACTACCTAAAGTTAAAAGATTACAAAAGTAATTGTTGAAAAGGCATAGGCTAGGGCTATAGAGTAGTTAGACCATTATTTCGGCCTTCTTTTAGCACTTGGAAGTCTATCTTGACGTGCCAATTTTAGCTTCAAGGCAAAAAAGTTAACCACTTCTATATTGTCTCCTTTTCTGTCATGGTGAAACTTAATAAAAATATCAACAAAGCCCATATAGAAGTCCTAAAAGAGAGAAACAATCTCTCTTCGAGAGAGAAACCTTAACAAATAAAGAGAAACTTCTATATCTTGTTTATTCTTGTTATGTT